ATCAGAAGCAATGAAGGAGATCCAGAGCAATTCAGAAACAGCTGAGCTCATGGCCCTATACTCAGCTTCGGCAGAGGATTTTGAGACGGTTTGCTGCTTCTTGCTCTTCCAAGAAATAAGGCAGTCCCCAAGGAAAACACAATAGCCTGTAATAGAACGTCGAGAATCTTTACAAGAGGCCCAATCGGCATCACTATAGGCATTAATGGAAAGAGAGCTGTGAGAAGGAAAGAAAAGGCCAAGAGAAGCAGTCCCCTTTAAATACTTCAGAACATGATGAGCAGCATCCCAATGAGAAGTGTGAGGGGAGCTCACAAATTGACTGAGTTGCTGCACAGAGTAAGTAACATCAGGTCGCGTCATATTCAAATACAAGAGGCGACCAATGAGCCGTCTGTATTGATCAGGTTGAAGGAGTGGAGCCCCATCCTCTAAGAGAAGTTTAGTACCATGTGGAAGAGGAGAAGCAGTAGGAGTACAGCCCAACAAATTCAAATCGCCTAACAGATCAAGGATGTATTTCCTTTGAAATAAGAAGGCCCCTTCATGAGTTCTGTAAATTTCTATCCCAAGAAAAAACTTAGCCAAGCCCAGATCTTTAATAGTAAAAGCCTCATCCAAATAACCCTTAAAAGTTGAGATCAGCACTTCATTAGATCCAGTGAGCAAGATGTCATCTACATAGACCAAAACGGCCAAAAAATGACCATCTTTGGTGAGGGTGAACAAGCAAGGATCATGTGAGGATTGACTGAGACCAAAGTAGGAGAACTTCTTGCATAATTCATGATTCCACTCCCTCGAAGCTTGTTTTAGACCATATAAACTCCTAAGAAGCTTGCACACCTCACCTGCTTTGGCTTTAAGATAACCTTGTGGTGGTTTCATATACACTTCCTCAGAGAGAAAGCCATGCAAGAAGGCATTATTGATGTCCAGCTGATGAAGACACCATCCATGCATAATCCCCACAGCAAGAAACAACCGTACTGTGACCAATTTAGCCACCGGGGAAAAAACATCAAAATAATCAACACCAGCCACTTGATTGTAGCCCTTGGCAACCAGCCGAGCCTTAAACCTATCAACAGTGCCATCAGCTTTCCTCTTAACTTTGTAGACCCACTTAGAGCCTATGGCCTTCTTACCTGTGGGCAAAGAAGTAAGTTCCCATGTGTGGTTGGACTCCAAAGCATCAAGTTCTTTGTCCATAGCCTGTACCCAAGCTGGGATCTTGCTGGCCTCATTGTAGTGAGTAGGCTCTTTGATCAGAGAGACATTGCCCATGAAAAGTGTAAACTCAGTGCCCATGGGTGCAACAGAGGACCCACCAGGTGTACAGAAATAGTCTTGTTGCCATCTGGGGGGTTTTCTTGATCTATAACTCTTTCTTACATCAGGCTGGGGAGTATGCACAGAAGGCAAACTGGGGTGATCAGGCAAAGTTATGTGACCAGTAGAAGGCAAAGTGGTGTGACCAGTAGGAGGCAAAGTGGTGTGACCAGTCAAGTCCTCAGGAGCAGCAAGAGGCAAAACATTGTGATCAAGAGAATCTAGAACCTGCCTGTGGTATGGAAACTCATTCTCAAAAAAGAGCACATCTCGAGCTGTAAAGATCCTTTGCTCCTGAATATCAAATAGTTTGTAACCCTTTTTACCAATCTCATAGCCAATGAACACAGATCGAATACCCTTGGGATCCAGCTTAGATTTAATGGGCCTTGTGTCAGCGGCATAAGCGAGGCAGCCAAAAATTTTGAGCCGTGTGAAATCAGGCTTCTTATTGTAAAGCCGTTCAAAAGGAGATTGCCAATGGAGCAAAGAACTGGGAGTTCTATTTATGACATAAGCAGCTGCCAATATAGCAAAGGACCAAAACTTTAAAGGCATGCCAGACTGAAATAACAAGCTTCTAGCTACTTCAAGTAAGTGTCTATGCTTCCGTTCCACGGTCCCATTCTGCTGAGGTGTATAAACACATGATGTCTCATGAATAATGCCTTTGGTCCCAAGAAAGTCCTGTAGGTCCTTTACCAAGAATTCTTTACCATTATCCGACCTTAATCTTTTCACAGAGCAATCAAACTGTGTGGCAACCATATTGATAAAAGACTGGATCAACTTACTAGCTTGAGATTTATGAGACATAAGGTAAACCCATGTTCCTCGGCTATAATCATCAACCAATGTTAAGAAGAAAGGGGTATTGGTAAAACACTCCTCCTGACAAGGACCCCATATGTCCATGTGAACCAATTCAAAACTTGTCCCAGTTTGAGGATCACTTGCATGGAAGGGTTGTCTGTGCTGTTTTGCTCTTAAACAGGCATCACAAGCATGAAGTAAGAGTTCATTTGCCTTGGTGCAGTCCTTGTGGAGAAAATCCATGTGTTTTAAAGTGGAGTAGGAAGCATGGCCCAATTTTCTGTGCCAATTTTCAAAAGTCAAATTGCAGGCAGCCAAGTGAGGAGGACTAGCCATAGTGGAAACACCTTTCAACACATAAAGATTTCCAAGCAACTCCCCAAATTCAATGGTCTTGTTGAGCTTAGTATCCTCGAGGTAGCAATTTGAACCAGTAAAGAAGCATCTCAAATTCCCTTTCAGGCATAATTGAGTGACAGAGAGCAAGTTATATTTAAACTCAGGCATGTATAAAACATTATCCAACCTGATATCAGCATTAATGTCCACCAATCCTTGGCTATAAACAGATTTGAGGGAACCATCTGGTAAGCAAATAGAGACAGGTACCTGAAGGTTAACCAAATTTCTCATAAGGGCAGCATTGTTACAAATATGGCGGCTGGCACCCGTATCAATAATCCAATCAGAAACACCAGCAGGACCAACAGTGGTTAGAGCATACTGCATGTCATCATCCTCAGTTGTATCCTGGAAGCTGACAAATTGAGCAAAGTTCAAATGGCCATCAGCTCCCTCTTTTCCCTTGATGTATTGAGTTAGTTCATTCAGTTGTTGAATAACAGCTGAGAGATCACCAGATTTGGAACCATCACTGCTTAGTGATCCCTGGCTTTGCACATCTGAACCACCTCGCACCGTTGAGATATTAGCAAAACCTTGTCCTTGCTGTTCCTTGTAGGATTTATACCACTCAGGAACACCATGAATTTTGAAGCAGCTCATGACAGTGTGGCCCCGCATACCACATTTCTCACAAACGAGTTTGGCTTTTTCTTCTTTGCTCAGCCGAGGGCCACCCCTACCTTTGCCACTGGACCACTGTGAGTTTGATCCTCTGCCAGCAAAACCACCTCGACCAAAAACACCAGATCCTCGACCTGGACTAGCACCATGTGCCATCATAGCTACATTATCCAAACGATCTCCAAAGACATTGTGGACTGATCTTTGTCGTTCGGCAGTTAACAACATAGAGTAAGCTTTATTCACAGTGGGTAGAGGGTCCTGCAACATGATCTGATTCTTTAAATGGTCATAGCTATCATTCAGGCCCATCAGAAATTGGATCAGCTTGCTCTCAGATTCCTGTTGAGCAACCAGCTTGCCTTTGTCACAATCGCAACTCTGAAAAGGCACTACACAGGAATATTCATCCCACAATTTCTTTAATTTATTGAAATACTCCATAATAGTGCTGTTGCCCTGTGTAAGATTAGAAATCTCTCGCTGCAATTTGTATTTCATCGGCCCGTTATTTTCCCCAAATCGTTGACATATATCGTCCCACAGATCCTTAGAGCAATCGGCGTAGATGAAGGATTCAGCGATATCCTTTGAAAGAGAATTTAAGATCCAGGAAAGCACCATCCAGTCGACCTTCCTCCACGCAGCATAAGATGCATCAGTGTCCTCTGGTTTACTCACCTCGCCATTGATGAAACCGAGTTTGGTCTTCGCACCCAAGGCAATAATCATAGACCGTTTCCAAGAGAGAAAGTTACCTCCAGTAAGTGGATGCGAAACCAACATCATGCCAGGGTGATCGGATCCGTGAAGAAGAAGTGGATCTGGATCGCCATTTCTGGTGGCACCTTCAGCATTTGAGTTGAGCAGCGGCCATGGATTCCGGTGATGCGCCATCGTCAGTAATCAAACAGATCGAGTTGCAAATCAGGAAAAAAATCGATCGAATCCAAAAGAGGAACACTCAAAGTACCCAGGATTTGCCAACTGATACCATGTAGAAATCAAATCTCACAAAGTGTGTGAAGGTAAACCTCCTTTCATTAATCAAGCTCAAAATCACCAGTAAAAACGTTTTGACCCTACTAATATAGGTAAAGTACGTACAGATGTATGGTGTCATCCGCTGAGTACAAAAAAATGAAAACTTAAAGAAACGCACAATCCTAAAATGCGACTATTGGTAATACAAAAGGGAAGAAAACGAACAGAAATGGAAATGGAAAATACAAGATAATGAATGTGAGTGAACACATTCCCAACATTCTTGTTTGGTTTTCGTTTATGGGGTGTAGACGAGACACTTATGAAACAATTTATCGATCTTTTTAAGGTGGGTTCTGTTAGGCTGAAAGCCATGTTCTTGTTTTTTTTTGGCTATTTGTAACTTTGTAGCATTAATTAGTGTGTGTAAGTGTAACGATTTTGGGCGAGTGTTGAATGTAGATGGACATTTCACTTATGACTAGTAGAGCTAAGCCTTTTGATTCGTCTATATGCCGCATAGTTGTGGAAAATCATTTCAACTTTTCATCCAGGAGGAAAAAAGATACTGCAATAAGATGGCTACTGTGGGTGGAATGAACGATTTGTCATCAGAAATGGAGGTCGATGCTTTTAGACGTCTTTTTCCTTTACGTTTTCACGAGCGTCACCTTCTTGAGTCGATTAGGCAGGATGGCCGGCCACTTGGCAGAGCTAGAGACACTACACTTGTGCTTGGTTAGTCAATATGTCGATTCATATCCTTTTATCATGCTTCTATTTCCGTTGTGTTTTATAATAAAAGTCACGTTCTTGCTCAAAACCGTCGTTCCAAATTGCAGGAGCTGTTGCTTCTGCTAATGGATCGGCACTAGCAAAGATAGGTTGCACCGTAAGTGTGTTTTTATTTTTTGTGTTATTGCTATTTATTTGTTTTTGGGTTGTTATTTTATTTGGGTCGTCTGTTTTCTTGCCAAGACTATGTTGGCTGCCATTAAAATGGAAGTCATGACTCCGACTGTCGAGGCACCTGATGAGGGCTGCATAGGTTAGAATTTGTCTCTAATAGCTTTTCACGTTTTCTATTTTTCTTTTCTTCTAACTTTGTCGGTTGATAATTGTTTTCCAGCCATTGATTTCCACATGCCCCCCATTTGTTCTCCACTTGTTCGGCCTGGAAGACCAGCAAAGATAGCTCCAGTGTTAGCCAAACAATTATCCGACACCATTTTGAGGCAAGGGATTAAACTTTTTTGGGTGTTAAAAGGATTTTTTTATATTATTGTGGAATGACTACACGCAGAGGCAACCTTTGTAACGTTTCCGTCAATATGGGGTCATAGATCATGAAAATCGATTCTCTAGCATGGCCAGCCTTTTCTGTTCAGACCATAGCCATTGTTTTTCCGAATCCATTTACTTTGAAGTATAGGCGCCTTCCGTTTGAAAATCAAGTGATTAAAAGATCGTAATTAGAGTCTAGATAAGGTCTGCCAGCACTTTCTAACATGAACTTCTTGTGGAAATGTGGCTTTTTTATTACCGTTACATTTTGTTCGTCCAATTGAAAATAGTTTTGCTATAGATAATGATCTGCAGTTGTTTATTATACACAGCAAAGCAAAGTGGTCATAATCTATAGCAAAGTGGTCATTTCTTCTAATTGTGTGCAACTTTAAGTAGTTTCTTTGAATGGAAATATCATTCCTCCACTTTTAGAACATAAATAATTTTCTCTCCCAGGTCATATTATATATATAACCCTTTGACAATTTATGTATATATATTTTCTTAATTACATACATTTTTGTACTTTCTACAGTTCTGGCATGCTTAATCTGAAAGAACTATGTTTAGTGGCTGGCAAAGCTGCCTGGATGGCATATTTGGTAAATTAAATAATCTTGATATTAAAATTTCCCGTTGCCAATCAAATTTAGGAACCTTTCTCATTATAAAAATTGATTTGCAGGACATATACTGTTTGGATGCTGATGGTGCCCTTTTCGATGCAGCTTTGCTTTCTGCAGTGGCAGCCTTCTCACATTGTAAGCTTGTAAAGTGTTCTCTTCTCTGCTTTTGCTCATATTGCTGCGTGTGGTAGTTTTATTTTAAATTTATGGACTCTTTCTTTACCTTCCACTGCAATCCACCTTCAATCAAATATCGTCAGAATTTTTGTTTAAAATACTTGGATTTTGAAGTTCAACGTATTAGAGCTCGATTAATTCTTATTTGTTTTAAGTCGACTTCGTTTAGTTATGTATTTTGCAGTTGTATGAATGATCCTTATCCATAAAGCACACCTATTTTTTTATTGAAATTTAAAAGGCTTACTCCAATTATAGCTAGTTTAGTTTTAAAAGACAGAAAATCAAAAAATGCTATTGCACTTGGAATTGATTGGTGAAAGTTGTGGGTGTCAAACTGTTGGTAATAGTTTTTAAGCTGAAACTACAAGTGCAAGTGCAAGGTTAAGCTACACGTCAAATACAAGCATTGAACTAACACTACAAATGAGCTCAATTATCTTGCAGTGCAAATCCCGATAGTCTCTCTCAATGATGACGGGCGGATAGTTCTTGTACCGGAGGGTGGAAAAGGAGGAGCCAAGAAGCAAAGAGAACCCGTCAATAAAGACAAGAGAAAGCTCAAGTTGAATGTTGTACCATTTGCATTAACATGCGTACTTCACAAGGACTACATTCTGGCGGACCCCACCTCTGAAGAAGAGTCGATCATGGAGACATATCTGACGGTGGCAATTGACTCATCTTTTCAGCTTGTGTCGTTTAATAAACCTGGTGGACCAGGTCTGGCACATACATCGGCTATCCAGGTGAATTTTTGGCTGTATTTTTTCCTTTTTTTTTTTTTTTTATTGAAATCCTATTATACTGAAGAAGAAAACATGTCCGAGTGACTGTGATAAGGAGTTGCTGTCCTCTGACAAATTACGATACGCTGAAAAAAAGTCCAGATATTTTAACCTTTTTATCATTCTAGAAAAAAAAAAATAAAAAAATCTTATTCTACCAGTAACTTGTTGTATTCTGAAACATTTTTTTCTTGTTTGCAATTTAAGGCATAGTTGTTTAACTATCTTCTTTAGCCTGTTTAAGAGTAAAATTGTGCTAAACTCAATGCATTTTTTTTTTTTTTTTTTTT